AGCAGAGATTTTCTTGATAAGCACAATCTCTACAACAGATCTTATCAACAAAAAGGGTTTTGAATATAAGTTTTCATAATAAATATATTATATGAAGAGGTGCTAATCAAAAAAAATAAATAAATATTATAGTAAAAATCTATTAAAGTATTCTTATATAATATAAATTATAATGAATTATTAAAATCAAATTAGATGAAATATTGAAACAGTTGATCTAACAACTAAGGAACTTTAATTTGTTTGTCTATAATAAACATTTTAAAAATGCTTAGCTTGTTTGAACTACTAGTTGAATCTGAATATTCAAGCAATTATCTGAAGCGTAAAAATTAAAATTAGCAAGATATGCATTATATTACTCATTACCAAAATCAAAAAATTACCAGATTGGTCGAACAATCATTCGGTCAATTTTTATTATGTACGTATGTAAATATTCTTAAATTAATGAAAACAGCTATAATCGAGGTGAATAACACCAAGAATTAAAAAAAATATTATTATTGGCTAGCGATTAAATAAATATCGCTATTATTAATTGATTGGAGAAAATCAAATCCATATGTATACTATCTTTTTTTCACATGAGTAGGAATAAGAAATAAGTTTGGGCTTTTTGGCCTCAAATGATAGGAATTTTACTGTTATTTTCCTAAGATAGAAAATAAAAATATCATAATTATTGTACAAACAAAAAAAATTATTCTGAAATTAGTACAAGAATTATTAGAAAAAAAAAACATGCATTGTCAGGGAAAATATTGTAAGCTTGATTTTTTTTAATAGTGATTATAAATCAAAAATCTATCAAGCGATCATATAATAATAGCAAATAAAATACTTTATATTTGTATATGTAGTAATTTTATTTTAATTTCGCAATATACTGTAGAAATTGCAATTCTAATTTAAAACTCTATATGCTATTGTTGATATTTCACTAAAACATACATTATTCAACACTATCATATTTTCTAATAATAAAAATAATAGATTAATATAGATTAGATTAGTTTTTTTTTTTTAACCAACAAGAAATAACTACTAACTAGTGCTTGAGCAAATTCTCTAAATTTTCTACATAAACAATTGGAATCAGAAAGTTTTCTATATCTTCAGCTAGAACTATTACTTGTTCTTTTAACTCTTCAATACTATTAGGAATACCATATTTTTTAAATAAATTAATGACCATATCAACTGGAATATCATTCCATGCTTCAACTATCTATTTGCAAATAAAATCATACGAAAGTTTTTTAAATTTATCTCTTTTGTAAGCTCAAAGCCATCAAGTGCTATCCAATTTTGCCATTTTCTACGTATTCGGTCTTTAAATAGCTTGTTAATGCATATATCGAGAGGCTAAACTAGTGAAGTAAGTCCACCAGGGATTATATCTCTAACTGTATTTAATTCATTATATTTTTTCTTAACAGAATCCATAAGGTGCCCTTCAAAAGAATCTATCACTAATTAAGCTATGTTTTTGTTTATATATTAAGAATCTTTTGTGCCATACTTCATTCAACTATTCTTGCATTATGTTTTTATCCATCCATCTATTTTCTTGAATTTTAATAATGATACCCAAAAGAAAATTACCTCTAGGAAGTTTTTTGCCTTTAAAAATTACTATTGGGAGGAGTTTAACTCTGTTAGCTAGAATTGCAAGAATACATATGAATCAATTCTTTTCATTGCTTGTAGTTCTTATTTGAACAGTCTTTGCTGAAGGATGATCTACAGTAAGGGTATTAACTATATCAAAGTATATTGGCATTTTATCCATATTTGCGATAGAAGATAATTCATAGTTATTGATATGTTGCGATTTTTTGATAAAATTATAAAAATTATCTAATTGTTCAGATAAGTCATACAAAAGTTTTTGTCCAAGTTTTGTATGATGTCGAAATACAAGATCGTACTACTTCATAAATCTCTGACACCAACTATTTGAGGCTTCAAAAGTCTCTAAAGCATTAAGATATTTATATTTAAATTTAGTTCTAAGAAGCTCTTTCATTTTGAGTTTTATTGCAGACAATATCACTGCAATTCCATCTTGACGAAGTTGAATAATCTATTGGCTTAATGTTTTTTCTACAAGAGAATATGCAGCTTTCTTTTCAGAACTGACACTTCTATATAAGTATAGTACCTCTTCAAGTTTTTCTTCTTGTTTTCGCTACCTGGATACTTGAGAGTGATCTATACCATATATTCATGCTGCTGCTTTATTAGATGTTTCTTTTGATTTTGAAATAATTTCAAGTTTTTGTTTAATAGTGTAACTTTTATGTTTTGTAGAAGATATATTTTCTTAATCAACCATTAAATTTTACAATTGGTGCTTATATAGCTTGCCATGATGTTATTTGCATAACCTCAAAAATCACATACCAGTAAGGCTTTGGACTTTTTTTTTTTTATATACCGATACTATTTCTGGTTGTTTAAGTTTTTTAAGCCATGTGATATTCATGATTCTATTTTATACAACATTAGAGATTTTAAATTAATTAATTGAACTAATATAATGCAGAGTGTATATAACATATTGTGAGCGTTACTTACTATTTAAACAAGTCTTTAAAAATTAGACCACGTAATGTACTAGTACAGAACAATTTTGTAAGATTGTATTTTTTTTGTCTTTGTTTATAGATTGTGTAAGTTTAATATCTTCTTTTTTACCTTTAACAATGTCTGTCTATTTAAATCTATCAAATTCTTCATCACATCTTTAGCAATACTGTCACTAATATAGTTACTCTATCAAAGTACATTATCGATCACTACCTTTTGATTATTTAAAAACTATTCAACTGTTTTTTAATAATTTTTGAAAATTCTAAATCTATATCAAAGTCAATTTCTAACCAATCATACATATCATCGCTAATAGATATGATGTGGTTTGTATATTCAAATAATGATTTTAGATGACTTGGAAAAGAAAATTTGAAAGAAATTAGTAAAGCTTGATTTCAGTATTTTAATATTAAAAAAAATTATTCTAAAATTTTATATCTTTAAAATAGTTTTTTTGGTTCGCTCTATTTTCGTATTCAGTGGATTTTAAGTATCATTCAAATGTCTTAATTTCATTTCAGAAGATATCTATATTCTTGTAATGTTGTTTAACAACTTATTGCTTTTTTTTTTTAGAGTACTCATTTCTAATAGACTTAAGCACCACTTTCAGCAGATTTCATGAACTATTCAAATACTTTCCTTTTATCTTTAATAATACCTATTTCACTTTTAGCAGACTTCAAATACTTTCAAATATCCTGTTTTTTGTCTCTACACACCATCGATAACAAATAGTTATGGCTTGTACATTCAAATAGTGGTTTAGTTAACTTGGAAAAGTAATATTGAGAGGAATTGGTGAAGCTTGATCTTTAGCTTTTAGCTTTAATTAATTTAATTAATTTATAAATACCTTTGTGACAATTTTACAATTTTCGCAGCATGTAAAACTATATCTTATCTAATTGTAGGCTCGTTAGAAATATAATCTTCTGAATTTATATGTTTAGTTATGAAGTTATAATCTTCTGAATTTATGTGATCAGTTGTAATCTCAAATATTGTCTAATAGTTCTTTTTTTTTTTTTTTTTTGAGTGCTCATTTTTAGTAGACATAAACGTCCTACTTCTAGCAGACTTTGTATATCTATCCCATTTTTAGCAGACTTCAAATACCTTACAAATGTTCGTTTTTTGTCTCTACACATTATTGCTAACAGATATATGGCTTGTATATTCATATTGTAGTTTTAGGTAACTTGAAAGAGTAGTTTTATAAAGAAACTAATAGTGCTTGCTCTTCAGTCTTTAGCATTGAAAGGAATATTCTTGTATTATATCTTTAAAATAATTTTTGGTTCGCTCTATCTCATATTCAAGTATTGTTTAAATGCCTCAGTATTTCTGAATATATTTATCTTGTAATGTTGTCTAGCACCTTATTGTATTTTTTTTAGAGAGCTTCTTTTAATAGACTTAAGTGCCACTTAAACATTCCTATTTTCAGCAAATTTTATGCACCACTTCTTCTTATCTTTAGTATTCAAGAAGAACTTATCAGACCTCGTAGATTGAATATGTACAGAATTTGGGTTTTTATTATATTGCAAATGTCTGACAAGTCTAGTAGAAGCCTTGAAATCATTAGATATCACTGGTTAAAATCAAAAATATAGACCAAATATCATCAAGCAATCATCTAACCGATAGCTGGCTGATAGTTTG